GTAAAGCACTACCGCTCGCTTGACTCAATTATCTGTCTCTATATTTCTGTCTATCTGCAATTATTTGCCAGGCTTATATACTAAAATAGAGGGCGCCTGGAAAGGACTAGAGTTGCCTGGAAAAGTCACATCCTTCGAGAATCTCATGACGTGTTTCCAGGGTCACGTGACTTCCGCTGTAGTAACAATATATACTAGTATAAAAGCCAGTCAAAATGAAGGGAAACCATTATTGAATCATTAACGGAACTTTTAGAATTTAACTAAAACGAATTTGTCTGTACCTCCAAAATGCACCTACTCTTCATTTATTTCATCAGTCTTGAAGTAATTCTTTAATCACCAAATTTTTAGTAAAAACTACACAGAAAAATTAAATATTATCATGAACGAAAGTATATGTGCACTCTTGAGCCTTTTCAATGCATTGTATGTCAGGAAGTAAAAAACATAGTGAGGGCCTTCCGACACAAATTTTCAACTCTTTCGACTGTACAAAGAATAAAAAATATTTGGTAATAATAAACGTTTATCTTTCTTTATGTTTTAATTAACATTTACTCACCACTTAAAACTTTTTAAACACTGACTCTATAACGTTAGTAATAGCAGGCCTATTTGTAGTCCAACTTAAGCATTAGGCCTAATACATAAACGTAAAGTGAGGCTTAGCTGAAACTCTACTTGGTAAATTTTATTTTGCTTTTGGCTACAACTCATAAAGCTTCTGAATTAAGCTATTTTGCTGTTATATTAACGAAGTTATATATATATATATAACTTTTCTAACAAATTAACATGAATATTGAGCATTCAACATAAACACCATAGTTGGCCTAAGAACAATCAGGTCATAGTTTTGTTACTAAGCGACGATGTATATTGTCGAGTATTACCAAAAAAGGAGCGTGAAGGCGTTCTTGACAGAGTGACAAAGGGATTAAGCCTTTCATAGTTAGTGGTATAGATATACATTTTTACATTTATATAATTGGTTAAAGATATTTTTAGAATTTCACTTATAATTTGTTTAAAACTTTGCAAAGTTTCTTATGATCTAGCATGTTTTGTCTATAAAAATATTTGTTACATTATTAAAATATACATTACAGATAAGAGAAATAATTTTCTAGAAAGTTATTCAGCTTTTGGTTTTCATCTTTAGAAATTTTGTCACTGTAATCACTTCAGATATTGTAATCAGAGCCTAGCTGCTGCTTATGGCCAACCCCTCATATCAACAGTTAGACTAAAATAAAATAAAATAATGCTATTCCTGTTCAGACATCATATTGACATTAAGTGTTACAGATATAAACTGCTTAAACATTCCACGTGATCTGTGATATTCATACATAAAGTTAGTAATTTGACAAACTGTACAGTATAATTTCAGTATATAACAGTTTCAATTAAATCATATACATCCATATGTAATTATTAAATTCTGACTATGAAGCTTTATTTGCAGTTTTTAAATTTATTGTTCTATTTTCTTTCACATACAACATCAGATTTATCTTTCATTATGGGATTTTAACATGCAAAATGAGTAACTTTTATGATTTTTTTGGTTGAACTGTGTTTATTAAATTATTTTGTTAAACTGTTAATAATATTGCAACTCTTTTTGTACTACAATATATATAATTGGGTGGCCTGTGTAGTGAAGTGTTTATTAAAAACAAATTTCCATTGGTGCAATCTTGTAGGTTTAAGTGTGACATTTTACAATTAGTTTAACATAATCTTCCAATGAGTTTACTGACGAACAACAGACTTAGTAACACTAGTAAGAACACATCAAATTACCTGCTATATATTTTAATAGAACCAGTGGAGCTTCAATGATTTATTCCTCATACTTAAAACTTTTTTGAGAGAAAATGCTACATATATTTTGTAATGAATTTACAACACACATATACATATATTATCATACTAACAATTCTTTCTTTTGTTCCATTTTTTATTTTTGGTGTTGGGTTGTGAAAAAAACAACTAACTAATTCTTTTGTGGAATTAATTGCTAATTCAGTTTGGTCTGTCAATTCTAGTCGCTTACCACAGAAATACATTTTTACAGCATTTGTATAACATTATTTTCTGTCTTTTCTCTGTTGCAAAAAAATATTTTAGATTATTTTTAAAGCATGCTGTATTTTCAGTATATAATTATAAAGAGTATTCTAATTTTTTAGGATGAAAAATATGTA